GCAGCAAACGCCGGCTCCCGAAGCCTTTGGGGCTTCGGGAAGAAGATTATTACATCGAGAAACTTGGGTCTGGAAGCTTGTGGGTTTACCTGACTGTGAAATCATATTTGCGTCCTAGCGCGATTGTTCTGTACCTCTGGGTACCTTGTTTTCCTTCTGTGGTCTGTGTGTGTTTGGGATAAAGCTGATTATTCTAAGGGACTCTGCTAAAGAGGATCCGGCCGTTAAAGGCTGAGTGACTGCGTTTATTCTTTCTATTTTATTTGTCATCAATCGGCCTGACAGAGCTTTCAAAAGTGTTTGCGTATACAATATATGGTATTTTAGAAATGTCAAATTTTCTTGTTGTTGTACTAGTGCACAGGACTTATTTCCAAATCTGTTCACATCTTGATGAGCTTGTTACACATGGAGCAGTGTTTCCGAACATTTTTGGGTCCAAAAACCAGCAAATTTCCATAAAATTTTTGCAGACGAGAAATTTCCCCAAAAATTCTCTATAGGAACAGCAAAGTTTAGTAAACTTTTTGCTGACTCAAAAAATGTTTCCTTGAAAGACTCCTTGGCACTTAATTGAACATTATTGGCTTTCTTGCAAAAATTAAGAACCAATGAAACACCTATAGTGGAATGCCACCAGAAATTAAAAATGTGGGCTTTAAGAAATGTTTCTCAGAAGGAAAAAATAAGATATTTTAACCATTGGGCACCAAAGTCAGACTAGTTTTGCAAAATTGTTTAGCACCTCAGAGAGATGAAAAAAAATGTCAACCAGGGGTTAACCCTTGGACAGCAGCAGCCTCCTTTCCATCCCAGGGCAAAGTCGGACTTTTTCCTGATGGGGGTGCATTATATTTTTGCACAAGATTATGCAACCCTTGTCAGGTGGGGGAGGGCAAAGTCGGATTTTTTCCAGGGATGATGAAATGCTGGGAAAGTCCTGAGTTGGACTTTTTCTGTATTGACCTCCAACCTGGGCTCCTGGCTTTCAAGCTTAAATTTAATCTGTGAATGGGGAAACAACACAAGGCCAGGGAAAAAAGGGAGCCTTTATTGAAGCTTTCATTTTTTTCATTTTCAGGTGAAATTTTTCTGTGGAAAATTAAAAAAATGCCAGGATTTTTTCCAACTTTGCCCTGCACACACTGTTGGGGGTTTTTTTAATTCCACTCTGGAGTGCCACCAAAATCTGCAAAAAAAAGTCCAACTTAGCCGCAGAAGGGTTAAGGGCAAAGTTGGGAAAAATCTGGATGTTTTTTTCCCGGTGCAAAGACAATTTTTGCAGGAAAATAAAAAAATGCTCAGTTAGGCTACCAGCTTTTTTATTTTTTATTCCAACTTTGCCTCAGCCCACCTGCTGGAAGGGTTTTTCTGACCTTCAAAGAACTGAAAATGCAGGAGGATACAAAAATAATCTGACTCCATCCCACTATGGGGAAGAACCCTCTATGGTGGGTTAATAACTGAATCATTGTTCAAGGCTCCATAAAGAGAAAAGCCAACTTTTATTTTTTTCATTAAATAATTCCAACTGCCATTGTCTTTCTGAAATTTCAGTTAAAATAAGCAGACCTCAGTGCTTTTCTTGTGATGAAGTCAACAAGTTTAAAAAAAATCCCACAGACAAGCAAAAATGTTCTGTGAACCAATGCAAGTCTGTGGACCACGGCCTGGGGAACACTGACATGCAGTAATATTGTGTACATTGACCTGCTGAGAGTACCTTGAAATTTATCTCTAGAACCTTTTTCGAACAACTTCTTAGAGGTGAGAAAAAACCAAAATCCAGCTTTTTTTCAGCACGCAAGAAGCTTAATTTTCTTGCATCAAACGGATTATCTGCCAAGCATGAAAACCAACTGCTATAGTATTGCACAACCTAATCCGGGTTTGTCATGCTTGTTTATGCATCGGAACTTCATGCAAAATACGCATAAATAAAATTGTGAAAATGCTCTTTCTGCCTGCTGTGCACAGTCTCCAAAAAGATTAAACCAAAATCGAGACGCGACTCATACTTGCAGGTGGTGCATAATTGCCGAAACAATTCGTAATGCTTGGTGAATTGCACTGATTGTCTGAGAAGGGAATGGATTTACTGCATGTATATATAAAGCTCGATGAAATTTCAAAGAAACCACTTACTACTTCAAGTTGCTGGTTTCAACTGCATGAGGAGCACTTTGGATTGGCTTGTTTGTTGCTATTGTCTCTTCTTGGTTGCTCTTTTGGGATTAGAAAAGTGTCTAAATGCCTTTACGAATCTCGATGAGGAAGTCGTTGTCCAAATATGGCTGAAACCCACGAACATTGGATTTCAAAGTGCATCCGTATATATGCGGTCTGCACCAAAAATGAACGTTATTTTATTCCATAGATTTTTTTACATTTATTTTAGCACTCTCACTTTCCACCACAGCATAAGCTGTTTTACCGTGAGAAAAACGATGTATAGTATCATCAATTTTTCCCACTTTCTCAGCTTCATGCCATTTAGCAAAACGAAGTGATATGAAACGGAGTACATTTCACTTCCTGGACACTTTTCGATTTATTGCATTGGCTCGAGGTAAACTGAAGAAAAAAATACGCGAGCTTTCGTGATACATTTTCGCTTGAATGGCACTGAGTTTAGGGATTCTTGGTAAACTTTTCTCCTTTTCTAAAAAAAAAAAATTCAGTTTGCTGCATGAAAATGCTTAGTATACATACTAAAACCAAGAAAGGATAATAGGCAAATTCTGTTTGCTAATCATGATGAATTTTCTGATTACAGCATTGAATAATGTGAAATAACCACACCTGGAGGCAAGGGCACCATTAGCCTGGGGAATGTTACTATTTACCCAACTCAATTCTCTTCACAGTGAATACTGAACAATAGGTAGGTACAGTCAAACCCCATTAGGATGCCCCTTATAAAGCACCACCCTTTGCAACTGCCAACCTTTTGAATGAAACAAATATCCTCCATATTCAATGCTATAGAAAACCTTGATGCCAACTGCCATCTGCCAGCTTTAGTGATGAAACAAAAGGACTGTTTCTGATTAGTTTTGTATTTGTTACAAAGCCAACATAGAGAGGGGTAGAATTATAAATTCTGTCAAGGATCTTGTATTTGTAAGAATAAAAAACTATTTGTGATCATTTTTTTGAAAATTTTGAAATAAATATTGACCTAATCTTGAAATTTGAATAAATTGATGCTGCAAAATTAATTTTTGGAAAGAGTAATCCATTGATCACAGCAATACGCTTTGGAAAATTACTGAAGTTTCTAGAAAATCTGTATCTCTATCACTTTTGGAGGAAAATCAAGTATGTTGGATTGAATAATTTAAAATGAAATATTTAATTAACTGCAAACCCCTTTCAACCACCAAAATTTATCTGGACCAATTGTGGCATCTTATTGGGGCTTGACTGTACCAGGATCCCCCAGCATCAGAACCCATCTGAACTTTACATGGGAGCAACAGCTAGCTCAGGAAGGGAGCAACCCTTGCAAGGGGTGAGTAAAAGACCTATATGCTATATGAGACTGATCTACTGGAGTGCAAATGTGTACCAGTGGTCTGAATGTACCTTCTTCCAAGAATATGATATACCAGTGATCCAAAAAAAATGTATACGTCTACCGAAACATACAAAAATGCCTCATGAAACATTTTCTGAAATCCACCTATTCAGTGAAGAAGAAGGGATGGTGGTCTTTTAAAAATGTGCTCGGAAATCTCGAAATTTTCTGCCAGAAGATGTCAAGATATCACCTTCACGCGTCACTTCTGAAGCTTTACGAGATATTTTTACAACACAAATCAAGTTCCTTCTTATTGCAAAATAAGCCCATTCTTCGCAAGGTCTCTGATATAAAAGAATGTACGCTGCGAAGGAATGAAGGCTTTACGCAAGATTTTCCCGACAACGGAGAAAAATGGTCCTTTGCTCAAAAGAAAATCGCGGTCTGGTGCAAAAATTGGACAGTTCTGATTCTCTTCGAGGAAATGATCCTTCACTTCACTGCTTCGGAAAGTGGCAGGTTGTAAAACTCTCGATGAGAGAAGCCCAATCCAAGTGGAACAAGGTGGAAAGAATGATTAAAGACTTCGCGTTCTACATAAGGATATTACAAAAGATTCGAGACATGTGTGTGATGCTCTTCTTACTGGAAGAGAAATGGCCACCTTTCGAAAATTTTATTTTGTTGGTTTTTGTTTCGGCTTGCCGAAAGTAGTTTCGTGCGTGCAGAAAGGTCGGCATTATACTCAGCAATATGACATATATTCGTATTTTCTCCATTTATTCACTGGTTTGGGAAAATGTGCAGTATTCTGAAGGATAATCTGGGATGTAAAAACGTCTTTTATGAGAAATGCTAAACGAAAAAAAGACCTCCAGACGAAGTGATCATAATTCAATTTTTTTCGCAATTTCGAAAAGATTATTTTTTTCAAGAGTTTCGTTGTGAATTCACCGAAAACTTAATTTATATTTGTACCTTATTGACGCGTCAATTTTAAAATGATTTGATCTCTTCGAGTCTTACGATTACAAAATTGCTTTACATCTGTTTTTGATTCAAACATCCGTGGAAAATTAATTACTTCGTTGCGGAAAAAGAAAAAGGTTTCACCTTGACTATTTATTTTTTTCCTTCTCGAAAGTTTTAGAGACTTCCATCATCCGCACCTGGGTTACGCGTTATGAATGAAGCACAGCAGAAATACAATTTTCGCAAAAATAACAACAAAAGCACGCAGATTTCTCCACAGGATTCTTCAGCAATCTGCAGTGCGAGAAAATAATTTCGCAAGTGTCTCTGTCAGCTCTTTTCCGACTACTGTATTTACGTGTGCATGCTGCAACGTCGCATGGTGTCACGGTGCGTGTAACAGAAAGTGCTTGCATGCGCGCGGAAAAGATGTCACTCCATGTCACAAAAATACAGAACAATACTGCTGTGTATAGTTCCTCATATATGCCAACAGACAAATTTATCACGCCTCTTCGGGCTGTTGAACATTGTTTGCTTGAATTCTGTTGCACACAACTTCGATGATAGATTCAATACAACGGAATTTCTGCTCCTATAGGATTGTGATAAAATCTGACTGAAATTCTTGAGGAATCATTTCAGTTTTTTCTGCATCATTAAAATTTTTTTTAGAGAAAATCTTCTACACTACATACCTGCGATAAAATGTTCGTACCTCGTCTATATATACGCGTGTTTGAGACCTTCTTCGAACACTATACGATGCTCATGGGTTCGAATTGGAATAAAATTTCCAGAAAATACTTGCGCCGGGTCCCATATACTGTACATAATTTCAATTTTATTCAGACCATAACGTATCTCAGGAATATACACCCGCGAACGAACGCCAAACGCCAAAATTTCCGCCAACTCAATCCTGCTTTTTCTCCTTCAAATAAAATGACTATAGGAATATCAACGTCACTTTGTTCCTAAAATTAAAGGTGTGGATAATTGAAAGATACGCATAGTTTCCTTCAACAACAAGAAATTAATAGAAGTAAGGAGGAAGCAGGCTTTTTTTTAAACTCAAATTTTTACAATTTCGGCGGAATATAGAAATGCAGTTGCCTGATGCTGGTGGGGTACGTGTATAGCTTCTCCCTTTTCTCCGCGCATACGTTCGTATTTCGTCAGTGTTTGTGTGGACTTCGGTTCCTTGTCGCACTCGGCGATCTCAATCTCTATACATCGGATGAAAATTCATCAGTAAGCATAGTAACGTTCTTCTTTTATTTTCCAAAACTTGGACCAAGTTTTACGTTAAAAGAAAATAAGATAAATCAAAAGAGCTCACTGATCCTTCTCGCCGCCGAGCTTCGTGGTCCACAACTTGATCTGTTTGCTCTGGAGTGAAATTGACAACTGCAGCGATGACCCTGGAAAGAGTCTGCAAACGAGACGATGTTTTTTCTTTAATTTCAGTATTTGTTCACCTTTTCACCGGATTTTTTTTCTCGAAAAGGCTGGGCAGGAGTGATCAAATTTTCAATTATCACACGTACTCAAGTTTTGACCCGCAGCATAATCTTTGCTCGTTATTGATGTTGAAATGGGGACAAGATATGTTAGTAACTTACTCCGGGGCCCCAAGATACGAAGAATTTGACTAAGGGACACTTGAAACTTGGAAAAATAATTCCCAGATATTCGGACCAAGTCTCGATCGAGATATGGACAGTTCGCAAAATTCTCTATAAAGATGAAATTCTTGAAATTTTTGATATCCCTTGAAAAATTAAACTATTTATACAGGTACAGTGTTTTGAAAGAAAATTAAAAATCAACCTTCTTTTAATATCACTCTCAATCATAATATTGTATTGTACAATACAAATAAACCGTTTTGTGCTTTCTTTTCAGGGTTTTTTCCATCAATGGTGCTCAGTATAAAGCAAGGTGCATGCTTTTTCTTTGCGTTTGTGCTCCATTTCATACCAAAAAGGGTAGATTTTGTGAGTCTCTCCTCTGCACAGTTATTTCCTGTATTTTGTTGAAGTTGAGAAACATTTGCATTTCATTTATTGTGAAACTTTTCACAAAGGTCCAACAACTGCAGGATAACCAATAGTCGAGCCTTATCGGTAACTCAAATCACCCAGCGAAGCCCAATACACCCTTATATTTGAAATCCTCATCATCTTCACCTTGCTATTCTTCCCAGTCATGTACTGGAACAAAACGTCCCTCAGGTACTCGAGTTTGACAGTGTCGTCTTCTTCGTCAGCATCCGAGCCTGAAGACCCTCGTTGCTTTTGGCCCTTGTCCATCGAACGCTTCAAGTGCCTCATTTCACTCCTGTGATCACCATCAGGAAAAGGTTTGTAAAACATGCCTAAAACATATAGAGCTGAGAAGGATAAGGTATGCGCAAAAATACAGTCCTCCTCTCAGTAAATGAGGAATAAATAAAATAGCGTCAATCATAAATACAAATGAATATCGAACTTGTGCTTTTTCTTCAGGTGGTGGATTTCCTTGGTCTTCTCAATCAGCTGCTGCTTGAGCACGTCTAGGCTCGTTGTCCCGGAATGCACTGCAGCCATCGCGGCTTGACTCGCGTATTCCATTTCCTGCCACCCACGAATCGTCGGATTGAATTTCAATACGTTTTTTGCAAGAACAAATGAAAAAAATGCATGCAAATGTGTCTGTCACACACGTGGGTTCTAAAATGTTCGCGGCAAAGAAGTTGAAACGGCAGACGATTGAGTTGAAAAAGTTGATGTTCAGAAGAATAAAAAAAAAACATTCGTTGGCACAATAAGAATGAATCCAGCGGTTTTGAAGGTATTTTTCAAAAAAAATGTTTCCAAAAGTCACACAATGGCAGTTTTCTGTTCTTCATTCAAAAGATGATGTACCCGCAGCATCTCGCAGATTTTTTTTTATGTGCCCGCGCTTTCCGTTGATTCAGAATTTTTGAAACTAACGGGGAAACAATTTCGAGGCGGGTTGTCGCCTTTAATTGACTTTTTTTTTTTACAAAATTCGCACGGAACTGCCCCATGGAATCAACGTTTGTATGTACAATTCGGATGCAATTTGTCAACGAAATTAGTTACTCCTTTTTCGAGTGCCTAAAAAATTTATGTTTCTATTTCAGCCTTAATTAGTCTAACTGATTGATTCAGAAAATAAAGCCAAGGTTATTTGCTCGTATAAAAGATGCAAGTTCTCATTGCTGAAAAACAGCGAATATAGCACATATACAGCAATTAATGTCGCGTACTTTTTCGATCTGTTTCTCTTCTGTGTTTTACCGAAATGGAAAATAGTTTTCAAAATGAGCAACTTACACGTTTATGTGCATTGTAATCCTCTCCCAGTCGCTCGATTTCGTGATGATGCCTTTCTTCCATGGCATTCAATTTGTCTTCCCATTCTTCCTCCAGCTCCTTGTTTCTCTTTTGTTCGTGTTCGAAAGCAGTGACAGCATCCCTCCTCATCATCTATTATTATTATTATAATTGAATCACGAGTCAAGCAGATCCTTTTTCGATAATATAACTATTTCTGCAGTCCACCATTGTTCGGACTTCGTTATTGCAATGATAATCACCAGATAAAGTTGTTCCGCACGACTTTTCAGGATCGATACTTTGTCACACAGGCCATCAGGATAACCGCCATCTGCAGGGAGATTATTCGCATTCGAGTTTTCTGGATTGACTTGAAAGATTTAAAATCAATCAGAAATTGCACGCACTTGATCTGGCCTCTTGCATGAATTCGCTGAAAATCGAGCTGAATTGATTGATGTCGTCCATTTCGGATATCGGCGACAAGGCCCGAGTGGGGGTCACCACAGTTCCGGTTGAACTTCCGTTCATTTGCATGGATTCCTTCGCCAATACAGCAGAAAAAAAATAATAGGGGTCATGATCATCAGAAAAACCAAGTACTGTAGTGTAGTCTGATTTGTGCCCATGTAATTTACCGCGTATCTCGTTCAGCGCTGAAATTAATGAATATCTCAACATTTCCTCATTTCAAATACACCTGTTTATCGCGTTTTCCGAAATTGAAAAGACAACCAATTTCATTCGCCGAAAACCATGTTTGTACCGTATTATTTCTCAGTCTGTATAAGCGCAAAATATACATAAATAAATTATAATTATAGTTAAGACCTTTCAGTTGGTCTTATTAATGCTTGAGGCGTCTATATATACATGATAACTTTTAATTTTGATGAAATATTCTGCACGGCTTTAAATTTTGTTTATAATTCCAGATCCCTTTCTTATGCATGAAACACAATTTTTGTGCAAAGGTTTAAATTATCTCAGAATTGCATACAGTATTTGGAATAATATTCTTTATATTTTGCAAAGAAACTTCCACCAAACTTTTTGTGTGCAATTAAGGCAATGTTTCGTTGCATTTGTTATCATGCAGAAAATGAGAGGTGTTTATTATGCTGACGAAAGCCTTCGTAAACTTTCAAAAGGAAACATTAGGAAATGCGAGTACGTCGGAATAATAATAGCTGGATTTATTTTATTCAGAGGAAAGTACGGTAAATGAAATATATTTGCAAAACGTAAAGACATGCTTTCCCAGGACATTGAGTTTTGATGAAAAAGCATTGGGATTTTCAAAAAAAAAAGATTAGTTTCGAATAGGAAGCGAGTTTGGAGAAAATACCGTCGCACAGAATCTGTCTTCGACCTCTGAATTTTAATACGCCCTTTTGCTAATATTTTCTTCTGATGATATTTTAGATTTCTAGCAAATACCGAAGATGCGAAGAGGAAGTGATATTTTACTGTTTTTCATTGGTGAGGGGAAAAAGATGGAAGAACTGAAATAAAAACTTCAAGCATTCCGTTATACGAGTGAATAATACAAGGTGAAGGGCATTACTGAAAATACCGAGGAAGTACTGTATATAAAGAATGGAGCCACGTGAACTTGTGGAAATTGAAAACCACTTCCTGAATCAACCACGATCCGACTTTTTTTCTCCATCTGAATCATTTTTATCTTAATCCTTCAGCAGCAAATAAAGGTTCCTTTTGCATTCCCGGGTAAAGTAAGAATTTTTTTTATGCTGTAGCATTTGCTTTTCTTGAAGGTCAGCAAAATCCAGGAAGGAGGTGCAGTAGGGTGAATTTGAATTTAATCTGGGGATTATTAGTTGCTTGCATATTCCAAAGTTGTACTTCATTCCTTGTGACCTCTAACTGAAATGCTTGATTTTGCAGGCAAAAAAAAAACAACTCTCAATAAACCATCCAGTGGCAGAAATTTTTTTTCCTTGAGCAGCAGTGATGGGATTTTTTGTAGGCTAGCGCATTTTGGTTCGAGAAAATGTCAGCAAAATGGCACCAGGGCAGAGTGGCCTCAGGGAATGAACATTTAGATAAGCCAAAGGAGGAAAATCAGAGTCCAGCTGAACCCCAAGTTAATCCTACTGCTGAAGGTTGAAAAAAAACCTTGGGAGAGTTTTTCTCTCTTCCAAAGTTTTTTTGCACATATAGAAAGAATATACAGATATTTTATAGATTAGGCTAAATTTTGCCAGTGTAATATGCTTTAAACTTAAAAACCCCTAGTGAGAAATTCCTGCAAGAGTATTCCAGCACTACCACTCAGGCTTAAAATCCCCCTGGGCATCTATCCTTCAAGGGACTTCAAAGACCAGGAAATTGTAAATAACTCTGCCCCAAGTAGGTTTTTTTTTTCTAAAAACTGACCAACAACAAAATGCCAAAATTTTTCTCAACGTTTCCATCCAGCACAAACAGTTCTGCCTTTTAAACTTTTGGATAGTAGTGGGTTGTTTTCCAACCCATGGCAAAGTTGGGATTTTCATGCACATTCAGTTTAAGCGAAGTCCAACTAATTTCCCATGGGTTGCAGAGACCTAAGCCAAGAAAAAAAATTCTAGGCAAGAAAATCCTTTTATCTTGAGAAATCTCTGATATGTTGATGCTATGGTAAGAATACAGCAGGAAGAAAACGCGACCAAGTGATACATTTTTTTCTTTTTTTGGAAACAACTGCTTGCACAAAAAAAAATATTGGCCTATGTAACAAAGAGCAAAAATATTGCAAATAAAAAATTACGTTTTCTATTTGCAGAGCCCATGCACGCCTCATACAAACTTCTGCAAAAATATTCCCAGTTTGCCACTGATGGGTTAAAGAGCAGTCCCAACAGTCAGGAAAACTTGAAGAAAATTTTTTGAATTTTGTTGCTGCGCAAGGGTTAACTCATGATTGTTGTGCAAAAGAGGTTTACCTTCACTTGGTGGAGTTTATCCTCAAATTTGTTCTTTAGTTCCAGGAACTTGGACTCATACTCTGACCTCAACTTGGCCTGCATATTCAGCAACTCTCGTTTGTGGATTTTCCGCACGTTCTCAACCTGCTTCTGCAAGTCCGGGTCCTGCTCGAAACAAGCCTGTACGGTTTGAATGTAACTCTGAATCTCCTCCGAATGCTTCTTGTTCTCGGCTTCCAGCCGACCTCTGAGCTTCAGTTTCTCGTTCTCCATTTCAGCCAACCGCGAAACAAGCTCGCGAATCCGGCTTTGATAGATTTCATCCTTCTCGTCCCCTTCCATGGCAGATATCTGAGATGCATTCAGAGCCTGCTGAAGGTCCTGGATACGAGTTTGAAGGATGCGGACTTGAGAAGCTTCGGGAGTGCGGCTGCAACGAATGCGCGGGTCGAATTCAGTGTCGGAGACAGCGACACCTATTTAAAAAATGATAAAGTAGAAGCGTGCTACGGTTTCCTTTTTACAAAGACAGGTGTCGCACAAACTCCACGTACGCTTCTCCCATTGCGCGTTGACGCGGTCGAGTTTCCTTTGGTACTCAGTTTCCAAATCGATGCATTCGTGGCGCAGTTTCGAGCTGTAATCTGTTTCGTATCTTTCGCGAAGTTGTCTCTCTTGTGTTGAAAGGTTATCGTCAAGCTGCTGAAGAACGTGTTGCAGTTTCCTTTCGTACTCCTCTGCCATGGATTCGAGGCGCGCATCGCAGGTTGTCTGGCACTCCGCCAACTGACGACGCAATAATTCTTCCGCATCGCTGCCAATCGTGGAAGAGACAGTTGCAGGCTTTTGCCGCAACTCTTCCTAAATATAGAAAATTCTGGTTCAATTACGAAATTAATTTGGGACCGACAATATATAATAGTCCCGCATGCATGCAGAAACGCATCGAATAACGACTTCTTTTTTATTCGCGCATAAACGATTCACTAGGAAGTTCCTTCGAAAGCCTTGCGAATAACGACTGGTAAATGTCTTGTCAAATAATTTGAACAACGAGCGTTCACTTCAAGGAAATGTAGTTTTCGGGAATTTTTATTCATACTTCATTTTCTCAATTGTCTTCTTCTATATCTGATGGTGAATTTTTGACCGGGTACTTGTGGTTGTTATAGTGGAATTCCAATGAGTAGATACATTCATAGGTATTCCTTATGTTCATTCCAAACATTCCCATGACAATTTTAGGATGCGATAATGATTGGAAATATTTTTTAATCGAGATGAAACTTTCAGTTTCTTCCAGCAGCCGAGTCTGTTGAAAAATTAAAATGCAAGATGAAATGAAAAATATTTTCAAGAAGATGAAATCATAAAATACTATCATAAAATACATATATCATATGTTGCTGTTCGTTATAATTGTGAAGCGATAAATGCAAAGTTCAAAATGTCAACCAAGTTCACCTGAGACAAGGTCAAGAGTAGTTTCTATATAGTACTGCTGTAGATCTGAACGCAAAAACAATTGTTGTAGAAAATATTGTCAAGGATGAAATTTATGCCAAAACATGCTGTTTACTCAGAAAATTTTTTAATGAGAATGTTTAGACACTGACTTTGGGAAGAAATCTTGCTCATCTGTATAGTACAGCAATGTTCGTTATCAATCCCTTTATTTGAAGCAAGTCCTAGTATTTTTTCAAATGACCACAATTCAATGAACTTTGCATTACAGTATCAAGATGCTGCTGTATATATATATATATAAACAGTATCTTGACTTTTTTGCAAATCCCTATTGGAATTTCTGAGGTAATTCCGATAGGGACGTGCAAAAAATGGACAGAAGGACATACTGTATTTCACTTGGATAGGTTCACGTTATGGAGATTCAACTGTAATGCCAATCATAAATATACTGTACCTCGTCACTAAACCTTTATAAAAACCGTGGTAACATTTAGTTTTAAACCACAGCAGATCAATGTTCTGCTCAAATATACAGTATGATGATCGGCGGGTTTCAGACGAGGTATTTTTCTGTTAACTGCTGAAATTTATCGCAGGATTCACAAGTTTCAGTCAAGACATTGACTCACTTTGAGAGCTTTGATTTCTTTCTCGTATCTCTGTTTTATTTCTTCGACGAGAATATTTTCTTCCCTCGCCACAGCAGCAGATGAGACATTTTCAGCATGAGCTTTCGCAGCCGGAAAGTCCTTCAATAATGACTGCGGTTTCCCCGCTTTCAGCTCAGAATTGCATCGTTCCATCGTGACGATTTTAGCAGACATTTCGTCAATGTACGCGTTCTTTCGGTCCATTTCTCGCCTCAAAGCAGACAACAGTTCATCATTCGTGGCTTCCAAGGCCTTGGTCAACGGCAAAGCGTTCAACTGGTCCTTCATGGCAGCGACAGCAATGTCCTTTGCTTCCATTGACGCCTTGTGGGTGTCGCTCTCAAGCTGCAGAGCTTTGCATCGTTCAACTGCCGACTTCAAATCTGCTCTGGCAGTTTCTAGTTGAGATTCGACACTGACACCATCATCAGTGTGTGACACAGACGAAGACGCTTCTTGAGACCGCTTCAGAGCAGAGAGTTCAGTGGATAATTTCTCGCACTCGTCTCGGAGTTGACTGATCGTAGATTGGGCCTTCGACAAATCTTGGATGACGGACTCCTTTTCTTGACTGGCTTCAGATAATTTATTCTCCAGTTGTCTTATACTAGCGTCTCTTGCAGCTACGGAAGTCGAAATGGACGTGGCTTCGTTGCGGAATTCGTTTTTCAACTGGTCTCGCGTTTGTTGTTCGAGCAGCAGGTCTTGTTGCAAAGAAACAATCTGAGCGTTGAGATCGTCTCTTTCGGCCGACAGGGACTCGAGCTTCTCGCCCAACACGGAGATTTCCGCGCTTTTCGAAGAGCATTCGTCGGTGACTAGTCTGAGAGACCGAGTGAACTGGATTTCTTGCGTTTCCAGGGCTTCGTTCAATGCGTGGTGTTCTTGTCGAAGAGTTTCCAACTGGGTTTCGAGAGTCGTTTTGGCTTCATTCACGAGAGCGAGTTCGGATCTGAGTGAGTCGACTTCGGACTTCATTTGTTTGTAGCCGGATTCGATGGTGTCGTCGAGGGATTTGTGGAACTCGAGCACTGTCTTGGTTTTGTTCACGATGTCCAGCTCGAGGCTTAGGTTGTCAATGACCTGAAAATTTGACACTGCATTGAACCATCAACATGCAGCAGGTATAAATTTACGCTGCAAAATGCGACTGAGAACTTATGGTCGAATACGATACAGTATTTTAAATCGGGAGCATTTTTTTAACATTGGCTAAAAAAAATTAAATTAGAAGTATGATGTATCTCGTTTCTCGTAAAATTTTAAATTTGAGAGCTAGTATACACGTACATTGAATTTTTTGATCAACGCTCTGAGCAGTCTGAGAAAGGTTGGTGAAATTTACTGGCAGATTAAAGACTGTATATTTTGTATAGATAGATACATCAATAATGCATGAGAGTTTTTTCCAAGTTTGGGGAACTTTTATTTTTTGAAATGGCTAAAAAAATCAGCAGGACGCACTTTAATCATTGAAATGAGAGGTGCGCTCGTACATTCTATATTCATGGAAATTTTGGAGCAAAAGACGCGTTTTAAATTTGAAAAATCAATCGTGCATTATTTTGATATTTTCCCTTTTTTTACAGTGAATTTCATCAATCTTGATCGATAAGCGCAGTCTTTGAAAGAAAATGGCTTGAAGTACTGTATGTTGAAGCAGAACATATATTTCTCCTAGTACCAAGGACCCAAAATTGAATAAGGAATACTAATATATTTGCTTGCGATATAAATATAGGAGCAGACAAGAATTGATGTATCTATCGTGATCATAGTGATAGACAAACCTATTCCTAAGAAGCGAGGGAAATCTGCATATACTGTACAAGCAACTGCTGTATGATGAACACAATACTAATAATAATGCATTATGATACATTGTTCAATGTTATTGTGATTGTTTGAAAAAGAACAGTGCAGAAAATATATTGAAATACAATTCTTAGCAGGTGCGGGACTGCCTAAAATTATTGTCCAATTAAACGGATATTCAGTATATATGCCGGGAGAAGTTTTTCAAACAAAAACTGTTTTAAACTTCAAATCACTCCCCAAAACTAAATACGGTAGATTTCTTCATCGCTGAGGAGGAATCGTCCTGTATTTACAGTATTTTATTCTAACATACATACTAATGCGATTTTAGCATGCTTTTTGGGCGAAGTTGAACCTGCATAATGTACTGAAATTTTATTTTTCATCTCGCATGAATTCGAAAAAGTATGGGAATTAAAAAATTTTTTTTGGGTTTTCCAAAAAGTTCAGCACTCATCTTTAAGGATCTCATTCTTTTCATCAGTGAATTTCACATATGATTGGTGTTACATTTGAAGTGATTCATGTTGGATATACAGTGCTTTCTATACTTATGATACGAAAGACCATGCTTCTTCATGGTTGTAGAGTAAAATCTGGTTAAAAAGAATACTATTATACCAAATTTTTCAGTATAACAGAGTTTTTTGAAAGTCCTGGCAGAAATCCCATAGGGTGCATTAAAAAAATCTTGTTATAACAAACTGACCAATTCCATTATAACAAACTTTTTGAGGAACATGTGATTTCTTGAAGAAAAATCCCCAATGAATGCAGGCACAGTCTCAAATTTCTCATCTTCCTCCAGCCTTCCTGGTTTTTATTATTTGGCAAATTTTATGACTCCAGGTCCAGAATAATGTTTTCCAGGTGAAATCTGCTTGAAATTTTGGATAGGAGGGCATAAAATTGAAAAGAACCTGAACACCAATTTAGCTGCTGGGGGAAAATCGCGGCTTTAAATCACACTCAAAGAAATTTCACCTTAATAACATAATTCCCTATAAATATAAAATCAAAGAAAATGTAAATAATCTTGGGTTCTTGAGTTTTCGAATTATTTTTTCTTGTAAAATCTATTTTTTCTTATTTTTTTACATTCAGGAAAAAACATGGGGTTTGCATGTACCAGTTTCTGTTCCTCCATTTCCTTGGTCAGCTCCTCGCACTTTTTCTCCACGCTGATTTTGCGTTCGAGTTGGCACGCCAAAGCGGTTTTCGCTCGATTCACAATCTCCAACTCAGTCCTGAGGTTCGCAATCGTGGTTTCCTTGTTGGCGTCTGGGCCGGGTTCCGGGATCGGATTGTGAGTGGCCAGTGACTTCCATCTCTCGCATTCGAGCAGAACCCTGTCGAGTTCGGATCGGACGTATTCGAGGTCAGATTCGGCTCTGCCCGTGTCCTGTCGAGCCTTGGCAATGTCGGCAGTCAGGTCGGTGACCTGGCCGTCGTAAGTGGCACGCAGTGTCCTCAGGTTTTCACGAGCCACTCGCAACTCGTCTGACACCTGTATCTTCTCCAGCAAAATCTTTTAGAGAAACCAAAGCGTGTTTTAGGCTCCTTAAAAAAAAAACAGCTCGTCGAGAACATCCTTGCTTCCACCAAGAATAAATGATGATATAAAGTACTGTAATTCAGAGCGAGGAGACCCTCTTTTCGGAAAGACTCGCTGGATAATAAGTCAAGGTGAAAACCCATCTTCAAAAACAGCAGGTTTTCACGAGCTACTCATCGCAGGTCGCCTGAAATCTTTTCCTTCTGAAGCAAAATCTTTCGAAGAAACAAAATCGTGTTTTGGACCTTTTTAAACAGCTTGAGAACATCCTTGTTTCCATCGAAAATAAATAATACTCTGAAGTGTTCGAGAGCGAGGAAACCCCCTTTTTAAATACTTTCTGGAAAAAATCAAGAGAAAAACCCATTTTCAAAAATAACACATATGCACTGTATGTCTGTATCCATTGGAAAGAATCATTATACAGTATTATGTTAATGTAATGGAACAAATTGTATTTCATTGCATTACAGGGCTGGATATTATGACATTTTGATATTACACAGTGGTGCCTTGCCTAACAATCACATTGCCTAACAACCAATCTGCCTATAAGTACCACTGAAAACCTGAAAAAATGCCTTGCCTAAGAACCAGCACTGACCTGATGTCCAGCAAACGTTTGCTGGCCTTCCCTTGAAATCATAAATGTAGAAGAAAAAAAAAATTATGCTGTTGTTTCTTCCCCTCAACAAAAATGGCTGTTTCTCAAGCATTTTTTCAAAATGAAGAATGGGAGGAAATTGTAATTGGTGATATTCTAGGCTAAAATTGCTTCATATACCTCATGCAAAAGTGACTTCTGTGCAAAGTTATACAGGAGGATTGACTCCTGCTTTGCTCATAGATTATGCATATATGCATGAAGTTTAATTTTGATTAATTTTGTGGGTTATTTTTGAAAGAGAGCAAGGAAGTTTAATAATGAGGAAAACCATTTGAATGAACTATAGCAGTGTTTTCAGGGATACATGCTTTATTGTTATCTAAAAATGTAGGCACATTTTTACATTTTTCTGCCAGATGTTTTTCTTTCAGAAGCCAATTATTGGGTTTAACATTAATTCTTAAGGGAAAACATGACCCGCCTTACAACCACTTCACCTAACAACCACTGCACAGGAACAAATTGTGGTCATTGGCAGCACTGTAGTTCAGATGCTTCAAATCTACAGGAGCATTAAATGCAGTGAGAAGGCACAGAACTTTTCCAGCTAAGAAAACTTCACATTTCCAAGCGCAGTTATAATAATTTTGCAATTAAAAAATCTCTCCAATTCATTTTACCATCCTGCATTCACATAAAATTACTTTAAAAAATACTAGAATGATGCAAGGATGTCTCTTCTTCAATGATTTTTAAAATATTATTAAATTATACAGTCAAACCCCGTTAAACCGCCCCCCGGTAAACCGCCACCCTCACCTCCCACCATATTTTTACCCCAAACAAATCTCCCCAATGTTAAAAGGATGGGGAAACCTCGATAGACCGCCAACCGCCATCCGCCAACAATTTTCTGGCCTCAAATAGGCACTTGTCCTTGTTTTTCTACCCCTTTAAACCGCCAATTTGGAGAGAGATTCAACTTTAAAATATGAACAGAATGCAATTGCTGAAAAATCAGGTACAAATGGATGCAATATTTGCTCCAAAATTAAGCAAGAACACTAAGAAAAATGCACAAGAAGTCATATATTAATGTAAAGGTATTCTTCTTATATCCATCATGCTTTTTCTTAATTTTTTTTGTCCTGTAGTAAGTTTGTAGTGAACCACTACCCTCGATAGACCGCCACCCTCGTTAAACCGCCAAAATCTTGCTGCACAGATGTTGGCGGTTTAACGGGGTTTGACTGTA